TAGAGACGGGGTTTCACCATGTTGACCAGGATGGTCTCGATCTCTTGACCTTGTGATCCACCCGCCTCAGCCTCCCAAAGTGCTGGGATTACAGGCGTGAGCCACCGCGCCCGGCCGAAAAATTTATTTCTTAAAAAAGGCTTTTGAGGTCTTTGTTTTTCAAGGCAAATTAACACTTATTATAAGTTTGACTTTAACCTCCAATCTGACAGGTCTACTACCCTGATGAACTGGAAGAGACTTTCCAGGCCCTGATAATGTCTTTTCCTTTCTCCAGTCTCTCGAGACTCTTTGTAGACTGTCTCTTCAGTGCCATTCTCTGAAGCCTCTGTTATGTGTGAGGGTATTACAATAGTCCATACTCACTGCCTTGACATATAAGGTCAGCTATGTGTCTAAATCAACTCACCTGACAGATTACACAATATACATCAGACAATGTGCCACAAAACATAGCTCTCCTCTTTCGTCTCACAGAGGAACGAAAGTTCCAAAATATATACAAAACCACTTTCATCTCCAACTGCCTTCTCGGTCTTCCCAGCTTTATGCAAAGCAATCTCATTAATACATTCTTCACGAGGCTCAACCAAGTAGTGCAGTGCCTTCCACTGCACCTCTAAAGTTGGAAGATTCTGATCCCAAGTCTTGACATGTTCCAAAATACAATCAGGTCACAAAGGTAACAGCAAAATACAAGGCCATGCCCAACATTTCAAAAGCACAGCAAAGTAACAAGAATAAACGTACCGCAAAAACAACTTTTGATTAAGCCCCGTTTCTCTTACAACAGTATTTCTCCCACAAAAGTTATCCTTCCAGAACCAAATACATTTGATGATGTAAACCCATATCAAGGTTATCAATCACGGACCATAAGGGAGACTATTACATGGGGGTAAAAAACATACAAAAACAAAACAGAGAAGATGATAAGCTGTTTCAGTTTCCTCAATGTGTTAGTTCATCCTTACCAGTTGACTATAGTCCTCAACTGTGAACTTCTCTCTATTCGCCAAATGAGCTCGACCAGCATCTCTGCCATCTTCGCGATCTCCTTGGCCTTCTCCTTGGCCTTCTCGCGCAACTCCGACACTCTCTCGTCGGCTTCGCCACTCAGGTGCTGCACGTGGTTGAGGGCACTCTCCTCCGAGGCCTCCACCTGCGTTTTGATCTAGATGAGGATATTGTTCATCTCCCACAGCTTGCTCCTGGTCCGCAGGTACGCGGGCCCGGGCTCGCGTATAAGAGACGCGATGTCCTCGCGCATCTCGTTGATGACCTGGAGCAGGAACCGCTCGAAATCCTCCTCGGGCTCCAGCACCTGCACCTCCTCTGGTGCTTCCACCTCGTCGATGTTCAGGGGCCGCATCTCCTCCTGACGCTTCTTTAAAACCGCTGTAGTGACGTTCTCCTTACTGGACACCCCTGGGAACTGCAGATCAGGAGTTACTGCTGGAGTCTAAGCGACCCACACGCTTTGTCCATGGTACTCTCGAATTATCTTTAAATGTTTTATTCCTTTAATTGTAAGCCTTTTGCTTCAGAACTCTGTGGGAAGAATCGCCGTGGATGGACACAGCACAGCGGCCAACAACATGGAGAAGCCTATTATCCTTGTTTTACAGATGAAGAAAATGAGGTACAGAAGGATTAATCAATTTGACCAAGGTTGCCTAACTCAGGACATATATCAATCACCTCTTTGCTTAAAACAGTCCAGTTCCCCATCTCAATCAGAGGATAGCCACACTTCTCCCAGAGATCTAAAATGCTATATGTGATCTGTACTCTCTCTTCCCTACTTTCTTTTTTGTTGTTGTTGGTTTTTGTTTGTTTGTTTGTTTTTTTGGATGGAGTCTCACTCTGTTGCCCAGGCTGAGTGCAGTAGTGCTTTCTCTGTTCACTGCAACCTCAGTCTCCCCGGTTCAAGCAATTCTCCTGCCTCAGCCTCCCGAGTAGCTGGGATTACAGGCATGCACCAGTGTGCCTAGCTAATTTTTGTATTTTTGGTAGAGATGGGTTTTCACCATGTTGGTCAGGCTGGTCTCAAACTCCTGACCTCAGGTGGTCTGCCTGCCTCGGCCTCCCAAAGTGCTGGGATTACAGGACTGAGTCACAGTGCCTGGTCTAATTTTTTGTACTTTTAGTAGAGATGGGGTTTCACCATGTTAGCAAGGCTGTTTTGGAACTCCTGGCCTCAAATGATCTGTTCACCTCCCCCTCGCAAAGTGCTGGGATTACAGATGTGAGGCCTCTCTTCTCTACTTTATTTTCATATATATCTATTATTGTTATTTTGATCTATCTCTCCTCAAGCAAATTAAGGTCCACCAGGAGGGCAGGCCTTCATTTGTGAAATAATTATTTAAAGAGGCCTACAATATAAAGCATTGTTTTGGGCACTGAGAGGGGAAGAAAAGCTAGGTGGTGGCCTGGTGTGGTGGCTCACGCCTGTAATCCAAGCACTTTGGAGACCAAGGCGGGCGGATCACCTGAGGTCGGGAGTTCAAGACCAGCCTGACAAACATGGTGAAACCCCATCTTTATTAAA